GGGAAGCTCTCGAGGTCAGCTACAAGAATATGTAATAAAAAATAGGGGATGCCATTTAAAAAAATTGGTGACCTTTATGTGACCTTCAAATAATTCTTCAAGGTCAAACCAATTGTACCATCTTATGTCCCCCTCGAAACCATATAACTTTTGTCTGAAGCATTTTTGTCTGCTGGGCTCAATTTTCGAGTTATTCTGCTGTTCCGGTACTTTTATAACACCCTGTATACATATATTTATAGAATATTCGATTGGAATATTCTGAAATTAAGAATATTTGCACTGCAAAAGAATGTTCATAGAACCATGTGTGCTATCTGGGAATATTTAGCTAATGAGATTCTCGTCACACATTGGAATACGCGTCTAGATGAATCGAAGAATATCACATGTGCCAGACGCACCCCCAGTAGCACAATATATTGGCGCAATGTTGGGAAATAATGTAAATCCGCTACTCCTAATATCGGTCTAACATTGATGACAATGTTAGAGCGATATCGCTATTAGATTGTTAAATAGGACAACATCGAGCCAATATTTGGCTAATGTCTAGCCAATGCACTGTGCTACTAGGGGATCGTCCCGTCGGTAGCACCGCTGGCGGATGCGGACCGCGCAAGCTCCGCTTCCTCGGGAGGGCTATTGATCCACGCCGACGTGACGTTTCGTTTCGTTTCGCTTCGTCTCGGTCGAGGCGACGAGACGGTAGGTAGAGAGTGCGACGGACGTCGGGGCCGTAAATAATCGGTGTGTCGTGGCGAGCGGATTTCCAAACGCGAATAAAGGCGTGCGGCACCCTCTAGCATCCAGGGGTAGGACGGCGTGTCCGCGGCGAAGATGGTCGGCGGAGTGACGGAGGGTGGACCTCTCATTCGACCTGTCGAGCCCGGTGAGTTGCCACCTGACCTCCTTCCGGAAACCACCCGCCGCGTTATCGTAATTGTAGCATCCCCCGCTGTCTTTTTCCCATTCTTATTCCCGCGATTGTCGTATAATCCGTCGCGTTCGCGAGACCGACGACGTCGCACGTCGCGCCTCCCAATCACGTCCGGAATGAGACGCACCGACAGCTGTTACAGCCCTTGTCAGCTTGCCACTTGTCGCGACTCGCAACAACCCAGATAACATGCTCGTCTAAAAGACATCTTCAAGACTTCTTTAAGATGTCTTTAAGATATCTTTTAGACGTGTATGTCTAAAAGATGTCTAAAAGACGTGTTAAAGATGTCTTTTAGACGTGCACGTTTTCTGGGAATCCCCTGGGGGAATCATACGTGTTTCCCAAAGCGCGAAATTGATTTCGCGCCCACACTCGCGGACGCGCTCGTCGAAATGGCCTTAACGCGCAAATACCGACCACGAGATTATAATTTACGGGATATCGTCGAAATAATCGGCGTGCAAGGGAGCGCTGGTCACGCGACGTCCTTAGTCCTTTTACGATTTGCGTTTCACATCGTCGAGAAGACGCATCCGACTCTCTCGCATCTGCGTAAACACCAGACTGTCGTTTTACAGTATTTCACACGATGCCACGTTGCTCGCGGCAGATGAATGTAATTGTTCGAAATCGAAATCGGAAGATGTGTACAAGGTACAAGGGGTTGTTCCTCGCGCACCGGCGCACGCGCGGCTCCTTTCATCTCGATACGCGATGCTGTATTTGAGAAGAGAAAATCTGATTGAGCCCGTCTGACCGTTGCGATTCTAGTCTCGACGGCGACGCTGGTGACGCTAGGCATCGGTGCCGCGTTCCTGTTATGCGCCGTTGCGATGACCTGGTGGCTCTGTCGACGGCGTCGCGAGCACACCAAGTTGAGCTGCGACAAGTCCCTGGCGTTCAGACCGCCGCATCGGAAGCCGACGGCGGTGAAAAGTCCCGGCAGCACGAGCCACTATTTAAAGAAGAGCCCGTCGCCGACGGGGCCGGCTAAGAGCCCGCCTGGCTCCGGTGGACAGACTCCCAGCCCCACGGGCTCTCAGTCCTCGAACCCGGCGTCTCAGCCCAGGACACCGCAAGGCGCAGGTAACGTAGTCTACGCAAGATTCCCTCCTGATTCGCAATTCGCGAGAAAAAGTACATTCAGGTATTGCAACAAATGTGCAGGTACACCGGTACAGACGCCAGTCGAGGTCGCCGTGAGCATAGAGAACGAGCGCGACAAGGCCGAGCTAGAGAATAACGAGAAGGTCGAGCGTGAAAAGAGCCAAGCGGCTGAGAACGACAAGGACAATCTGGGCCAGTTGGTCTTTAAGCTGCGATATCGGAGCGAGCAGAATGCGCTCGCGGTCACCGTGGTGAAATGCAAAGGGTTGCCAGCCAGGGGTCAGCAGAACGCCACTAGCGATCCTTACGTCAAGCTGCAGCTCTTACCTGACAAGCAACACCATGTGAAAACCAGAGTCCTTAGAAACACCAGGGACCCGGTGTACGACGAAGATTTCACGTTCTTCGGAATATCGCAGAGTCAGCTTCAGGTAAACGATCTGTAATTCCCAATTTTAATTGTTGCGTGATTCATTGGAAAATTAACATTCCAGAAAATCAGCTTGCACTTCATCGTGCTGAGTTTTGACCGATACTCGCGTGACGATATCATCGGAGAATTGACATGCGCATTGTCATCAGTGCCCGGTCTAGAGGACGCGGACAATCAGGAGATATCTCTCTGTCGAAAAATATACCCCAGGAGCTTAAAGGTGAGTATATCCTGTACGCGTTCCCTGAATATGAAATTTCTATTCCATTGCATTTTCAATCAAGACTTATCAATCAAGAGTTTATTTAATATAACATCATTGTTTGTTCATCATGCATCATTCATTTCTTTTTACGATTCCATATTTATACAGGGTGTTATGTACGTAATACCCGCA